AAACCCCAGCAAATTGGCAATAGAAAGAAAAGTAAAAACTAAAAAAGGACAAATGAGCATTTAACCCTTCAATTGCCTTTGATGAGAAAACAAAGCGCAGCGTGCCAATTAGCAGACGATGATGAATCAGTTGGCTTTGTAATGGGATTTTCAGTGGCGCTGCCAGATCAGATAACGCGCACAATCTGGAAGACGCTATTAGGAATTAAGAACCTTCTTGAGATTTTCCTTTTTTTTTTGGCACTGAAGGCAATAATCCAAAACAATTGTTCATCAGCGCACACGAGCGTCATTATCCAGTCAAGGAATGAATTGAGGTGCCCAAAGATGCAAGAAGGTAGAGAGGCGTGCAAGCTTGGTCCCACCGCCATTCTCCAACACCTCTGCTGCTGCCATTCACAAAGGAGCAAACTGTCAGCTCAGCGGAGTCTTGTGTCTACTGCTAAGGAGAGGGGGTGAGTGGTGCAGGGGAGTGGTGCAGGAGTGCGATGCATAAGAGTTAGGATTCGATATGTCCCATCGCACTCCTGACCGGAAGGTCCCGATATAACAGGGTGGGTGCAGCAGCGACAGCAGATGCCTTCGCAAATCTCATAGAACCAGTAAATCTGTGCAAAGTTTTGTTTTTGGGGTCTTTTAACATTGGTTAATACTCCTTGTGCCTGACCACAAACTAAATGTAACAACACGAGCAATGGTGGATCGATGTGTTTTGCAATGTGAGGTGCCAATACTGCCAAACTCAAAGGCAAAAAAGTACAAAATGTAACTAAAAGATCCAGAAAACTTTCTTCCCTTTTTTTTTGGGCAACAATGTAAAACAACAACAACCGCCTTGGCAGAAAGGAGCCATTAAAATTCAGATAACTGATTATCCCAATCAAGAGCGGGGAAAGCTTTGTACTAACTCACAATAGATGTCTTGGAGGTCAATTCACATTATGGGAAACGATGGGGCTATAAATGGGACACATATGATTGGGGTAATCTGTCTAAAGGTGGCCATACACTTTACAACCTTTGCAAGACTTTTGTCTTGCGAGGGTTGTAAAGTACTTTAAAAAACGTACGATCTGCCTATCTTGGACAGGCGGATCATACTTGCGATCATCGCAAGCCTGCCCCCCCCCCGAGGGGCGCGCTTGCGATGACTGCAATGAGGGGCGGGCTTCCGATGACTGCAAACGGGCAGTGTGCGCATGCGCACACCGGCCCATTCGGCAGTTGTGGAACAAGCAGGCCACTAACTCGCCGAGAATCGTACGATTCCCGGCAGGTTTTCCAGCATGCTTGTTCGACGGAAGACGTGCGACCGTACAGTAGAAACGGTCGCACGCCTTCCATACTCTCCGCGATTCTCGTACGAGAAGCGTGCAGTGTATGGGCACCTTAATGCTATTCACGTCCGAGGACATCCCAGGCTGTCGGTGCAGCCACATGATAGAAAGAGTTTTATTCCGGTTCCCGAGATCACAGCATAACCTTTATCGCAGTTACTGAGCATGTAACAGTAAGTCCAAAAAGGGGAATTACTGAAGGTACTGTGGCCCCGCATGGGCTGTTCTCACTTAATTAAGGGTGGGGCCACCTAGGAGATGGGCATGATCTTGGATGGGACCAGTGCCCAGAAAGTTGGCGGGATCTCGGCTGACTGCCCAGAAGGAGTGTGTGATATGTGATTAGATATGATTTCGTAAAAGCTGACCAAGGTGGAATTTCCACTTGTGGAGTGTTACCTTCTCCTTTAAATGTAGTTCTAAGCTCTAAGAAAGATAGATAGATAGATAGATAGATAGATAGATAGATAGATAGATAGATAGATAGATAGATAGATAGAGATAGATATAGAGAGACAGACAGATATATAGATAGACAGACAGACAGACAGACAGACAGACAGACAGACAGACAGACAGACAGACAGACAGACAGACAGATAGATAGATAGATAGATAGATAGATAGATAGATAGATAGATTTTGCCTTTTTCTAGCCATCTCTACCAGCTTTCTAACACATGGTAGGTGGAGAAAGTAAAGAAAGGAGATTAAAGCTCCCACTTTTTTTTAGTCCTGAGCAAAATAAAAAAGAAAAGATATAAAGAAAACTCTGCACATTCCTTTTAAGTCGCCACTAAGATGTGTTTTTCCAAACGAAAAGGGGGGGAAAAAAGCCTTTTTTCTGATCTTCTGCTGTAAGAATGTATCAGTTTGGTTGCCCATCTCTGAATCCTTTCTCCCACTGGTATGTTCTTATTACAATGTGAAGCCCAAAAGTGCACCCCGTGTTCTAGATTTGACCTTACAATGATTTTTTTTTACAGAGGCAATCAATTTGTTCAATGCTAGAAATGACATTTTCTAGATGATAAAAGAAGTTTTACTTCATGCAGGCTCTGAAATAAAAAACGTGACCTTGAACAGACTGATAAAAGAAGTAAAGGTTGACACGCTGACACCTGCAAAACACTTTTCTATGAACTTCGGAAAAACTAAATCAGCAAGTGGACTTTTTCTAAAAATTGCCTTCAAGGACAATGTATCATTTATGTTTACCACAAAGACAGTTTATGGAGTTTCTAACCAATATACACTTTATGGCCAAAAGTATGTGGACATCTGACCATCACACCTGCCACTGTATGACCATGAGTACATGGACAACCTTCCAAATTATTGTATTCAGGTGTTTCCAGTGAAGGGTACTATCAATGTTGCAACATACAAAGACATTGTAGACAATTGGGTTCTTTTGGTGACAGTTTGGTGAAGGCCCTTTTCTGTTCCACCATGACCGTCCCCTGTGTACAAAGCCAGCTCCATAAAGACATGGTGTGACCAGTTTAGTGTGGAGGAACCTGAGTGTCCTGACCTCAACCCTACTGAAAACAATTGGGATGAATTGGAACACCAGGTCTTCTCATTGAACATCAATACCTCATCTCATAAATAGTCACACATACCCACAGACACCCTTCAAAATCTTGTGGGAAGTCTTCCAAGAAAAGTGGAAATTGTTAGAGTCACATAGAGGACCAACTCCATATTAATGCCAATGGTTTTGGAATGGGATGATCAACAAACTCATGGTCAGGAGTAATGGTCAGGTGTCTCTGCCCCTGTGTACAAAGCCAACTCCATAAAGACATGGTTTGACCAGTTTTGGCGTGACCTGCACAGAGCCCTGACCTCAACCCTACTAAACACCTTTGGGATGTATGAGGATGCCAACTGGGAGCAGGTCTTCAGCACCTCTGGCCAGCCTGTGGCATCATGATCAGAACATATAGTTTAAGTCCTGGGGGCATCCAAGTACTGTTAGGCGTGCTTGCCTTATGGGAACAGTGGCTGCTATAGGTGAAACAACTCGTCACTACTTGTTCTGACTGCGTGCGTCCACAGCTGGTCCTGACAACAGGCAGTTGTAGCGACAAGTTTCCAACAGTAGTACCTGACCTAACAAATGCTCTTTCAGTTGAATGGGCATAGATTTCCACAGACACACCCCAAGATCTTGAGGAATGTCTTCCCAGAAGAGTGGAGGTTGTTGCATCCTGAAAAGTAGTGGGGCAACTCTATATTAATGCCTATAGTCTGAGAACAGGATGTGCAACAAGCTCATATACGTGTGATGGTCAGGTGTCCACAAACCTTTGGCTTGACATTGCACATGTTTATAGGACTTAGGTTTCTTACAACAATCTTCAATATTGTTTTTTACAACCGACACTTGGATAGACATGTATACATGTACATCAATGAAAACCATTACAACCATGAAATGAAATCCATTATATTTGAATGACATGATATATTGATTTTTGCAAGTGGATCTACTTACTTTTTCTGCAGATTGTGACGTTCCAAAAAATATTGGAATGAAGGCCAACCAAACTATACAGGTTGTGTACATAGTAAAGCCAATTGGCTTTGCTTCGTTGAAATTCTCTGGGACACCCCTGGTCTTGATGGCGTACACAGTGCATGTTACCATAAGAAGGATGCTGTATCCCAGGGAACAGATAATTTGTAGATCCGTAATGTCACATTTCAGGACCCCACGGCGCTGTTCCGGATCCGGTGTTTCCGGGCCATAGTCAATGATGATGTTGGGAGGATTGACTCCAAACCAAATAAAAACTCCCAAAAGTTGGATCGATATTAAACTAGAGGTGATGGCCAGCTGCGAGGTTGGGCTGATGAGCCGTGGTGCCGTCACCGACTTCTTACCCTGCTCAAAGATCCGGTAGATCCGGTTGGTTTTGGTTAAAAGGGCGGCGTAACTGATGCACATTCCCAACCCTAAGAAGATGCGCCGGAAGGAGCAGACGGCCAAGTCCGGCTTTGCTATCATGAGGAAAGTGATGATGTAGCAGAGGAAGATCCCCGTGAGCAGGACGTAGCTGAGTTCCCTGCCAGTTGCCCGTACTATCGGGGTGTCATTGTACCGTATGAAGGTGGCCATAACGAAGATAGTAGCGATTATTCCAAGCATAGCCAAAAAGACTGGAATCACAGCCCAGGGAGAGTGCCACTCCAGCTTGATAATGGGGATAGGGTCACAGCCGGTGCGGTTTTTATTGGGGCGCATGCTGAAGTCACAACGAAAACAGGTGACCTCGTCCAGCAGGTATTTGTAGCCATCGCATGGGTCACACTGCCAGCAGCAAGGCATGCCTTTCGCTATCTTCTTCCTCTCCCCCATTTTGCAAGGCAAGCTACAAACGGAAGTTGGAATGTCATGCAATCCTTTCGGCCACTGCATGTCTTCAATCTGGAAAGAAATGAGAGATTGGTGATAGAGAGAATGGAAATGGTATCACCATAGGACTACCAAAAAGGTGTCCAGCTAGAAGACTTCTGCATTTATTTTCACCCTGCACCACATAAGCCAACAATGTCTTTATCATCCTGTTCTCACTCCTCCTACTTTTTTTTCATCCTCTCCATCTCAGTCCTTAGTTCAGGTAGGTATAATCATCAGCCGCTAGATGTCCAGCTGATAAATGTGCCTACCTTACAACACAGCTAATCCTTCCCTTCACTCTGAGTATTCACCAACATTTGGGGTCCATCTTCTCAATATGACATATCTATATACTGTATGTCATATTGAGAAGATCGACCCCAAATGGTGGTGAAGGGAGGGAAGGATTAGCTGTGTTGAAAGATCAAGCCCTGATGAAGGGTGAAGGGGCACATGAGTTCCAAAATGCGTTGGATAAAAACACTTATCATGCTTGAACCTTTTCTAGGAAAGAATACGTTGGGGCCTCAACAGTCTGCTTGAGTGCTCCTGTACTTACCTCTTTCTCCAGTTCCCAAATTCTGTATTATAAGAGCTGCCAAACCAGTGTCAACATGCTGAACACCACCATTTTCATACTGTTTGATGGACATAGACCATCTTGGCGATCCAATGTCACCCATCTGCCTACGTTGACCAAAACCAAAAAACGGGCTCTGCTAGGGTTGGACTTTGAAGAACAACTCAAGGCAACGTTATATAATATTCAATAGTCTAAATAACATTTATGTACATCTCAAGTTTATGTATATCTCATTTTATGATGAGTGCCTGCCCTGTAACCGGCGGGTCGGAATCGGAGGTACATGGGTGTATCTACAGGAGTGGAGAGGAGTGGATTGACTTTGCAACAATGGGTTGCTCCCCCTGGCAATCTCCTATGCTCCAGCTCCAACCCCGGAATGTGGGCTTTGATTTCCTCATGTACAATACACAACAGTTGGGTCTATGCATGCATTTCCACTCTACATTTATGGTGTACTTCAACCTTACCTTCAGTCTTGCACAGTTGCCCGGGCTTCTTACAGTGTGCACCATGCAGCAAGTCATAAAGAGCCCACCTCATTTCCTGGCTGGAGGACATTCAGCATCACCTAACGCTTTCCTACTCAACCTCATTGTCCCTGGCACGCCCCTTTCATTCATTAGATTTCAGCTCAGTCAATCATGGAGGTTCAGCATCACATGTGGGTGTTACCTAGGCCGAACTGCATGCAAATGAAGCCAGCCTAGGAACTCTCACTCATCCAGACTAACATCCACCCATCAAGGCATTTTAATATCAGCATTACTCCTCCCAAGAGCAGGCCCACTGCTTGCATCAGTTCTAAGGGCTCTTAAGAGGAGTACTAAGGCAGGGTGCTGTGATATTTTTAGAAAGCTATGTACAGGACCCTGCCGGCCCCTCCCACCAGTCATGATCTGCCTGCATTGCAAAGAGAAGCACAGAGACCCAGGGATGACATAACTGGGTATAAAATAAGGTAATGACAATGGAAATCATTTCATTAGCCGGTTGATGAAGGGGGAAGAATGAACCAGGGGTGGCAAAAAAGTATAAATGATGAAACTTTAAGCAAAGCTTGAGTTTCTTTCTATCAAAATCTTTTGCAGGTTTCGTGTTCACCTCCTTGTATTTCTTTCTCCATCCTTTTATATATTTTTTTGTCGTTCATCTGAAGCTTCCTGCACCAGACATTGTGTACGATCCCCCCCACCCTCCTTCCCCATAATCTCCAGCCCCCCCGCTTTGTCGGTTGCCCCATGTCGCTCAGCTAAGACTGTCTGCCTCGTTGGGTTTCAGAGCTTTCCCAACTGTGTGAACTTCAAGCGAAGTGACAGCCCAGCAGATAACTCATTTACCCCGAACATCCTGTCTCCCGAGATAGCGGCGGCACGGGGCCGTAATTATGGAGACTTCTTTCACTTGCCCTCCTTACAATATACCCAAATAGCTTTATAACCAGCAGCGGCACAAAGATTTGCAACTCCTCTCTCACCTCTGGCTGTAAAAGAGCTAATGAAATGCAAGCCGACCGATAAGCTGCATGGAAAGGAGAGATTAGGGAATGGATTCACATTCGGAAGCATCACATACACACACCAAAAAAAAAAATCCATGTTGTCAGGAACATAATTGGTGCCCGACTGCAACCTACAGCCGGGAATGAAACACCGGCGATAAAGAAGTTTCATGCCAACGCACCGTCACAGAAAAGACCTATAGACCCTCAAGTCTGTCTGTCCAGCCATTTTAAAGGGTATCAGGCATGGCTTTAAACGCACAATGCAGCTCATCAAGGCAGCCCGAGTGACACAATGACATGCCAGCAGAACTCGAGGCATTTCAAAGGGAGTATAGACAGGTGCATATTGTTCAAACCACACAGTCCCTGGTTTTCAATTTATTTCAGCTCCTGCGCCTGCCAAAAGTACGAGTGATGCCAACAAGTGCGCATTCAATGTAGACAAGAAAACAAAAACTGCAGATAACTATGTTAGAATATAATGGCTGGGAACATGAAATAGGTAGGGAGGCGATCCAAGGTTGACTGGCAGCTGGGGCGAAGCTTAGAACTCCTTTAAAGCCTCCTATCTTCCTAAAGCCTACCCACCAGTACCACCTTTATACATACCTTCCCATGTAAAGTTTTCAGACCAGTCCAGTAATCTCATAGGGGTTTCCTTTTGTTCCTCAGTGGGGTGAATGGGCAATCTTTCCTCCATAGGGGCTGTGACCCAGGTCAGCACAATGATGTCCCCCCAAGAGATGCGTCTGTGACACCTTGGACTGTGAATGAGTTGAATAATCCTAGCCAACAGGAAAGGGGATGAATGATGCTAGCCAACGGGAAACGGGATGAATGATGCTAGCCAACAGGAAATGAGTTGAATGATGCTAGCCAACAGGAAATTAGTTGAAGGATCCTAGCCAACAGGAAATGAGTTGAATGATCCTAGCCAACAGGAAATGGGTTGAATGATGCTAGCCAACAGGAAATGAGTTGAATGATGCTAGCCAACAGGAAATTAGTTGAATGATGCTAGCCAACAGGAAATGGGTTGAATGATGCTAGCCAACAGGAAATGGGTTGAATGATGCTAGCCAACAGGAAATTAGTTAAATGATCCTAGCCAACAGGAAATTAGTTGAATGCTGCTAGCCAACAGGAAATGGGTTGAATGATGCTAGCCAACAGGAAAAGGGTTGAATGATGCTAGCCATTATCCAACCCCGAAAAATGGAGATAGCAGCAAGAACGAGCACACCTTCTGCAAATTGAAAGGGAGTAGTGCGCCGAAAGCTGCTGTTCTAATGTTTGAAGGTCTAGACTAGAGCAAGGATATTTTATAATAAATGCAGACACTCTTTCGAAATACAACTCTTGAAAATTTGGTTGGAGGACAAATGGAGAAGAAAACCAAGAGCGTTCCACCCTAATAGGCGAGATGCCTGTGTTCAACACAAAGTCAAAATAGGCACCAATATTTAAAGATGACTGAATACATTTACTATACACAGGAAACAAATGCATTTTGAGGATCTGACACCATTTCTTTAGGGCTGATGAGTTTTGGCAACTTGATACATTTATAATTAGTAGACAGCCAAGACAGTACAACTGGACACCTCATACGGAAACCAAATCCCATTGTCCCTCCTTCCTCTACAGAAGTTTCTTGTTTTGCTCTGATGAATAGACTTCTACAGTATAATAAATGTACTATTTAACCGCGATGCAATCCTCTAAATCAGAGGTAGGCAACCTCGGCACTCCAAACTACAAATCATGTCATGGCGCTGGCTCTGGGAGTCATGTCTGAGTCTTGCAATACCTCATTGTAGTTCCACAACAGTTGGAGTGCCAAGGTTGCCTCCCTCTGTTCTAAACCTTCATCCAACCTCGACAATGGAGTTTGTTGAATTTGTAGCATTTGTTGAATTTCTTATTTTGTAAACCCCTAAAAGGAAAAGCCATGAAAAAAGCACCTGCAGGTTAAACCAATCATTCATCCACGTATTAACTCTTTGTGGTCTGCATAACTTGGGGATCAGCAGGGGTGTGTCCTTTGGCTAAATACATTGCGCTAAGAGGTCTCCCCCTTTTTCATCTCACAAAGTTGGGAGGCAGGGGTGCCCCTACACTTT